AGACCATGGTGTGCCCCTGCAGCCCGTGGAGGTCCATGGTGGAGCAGAGATCCATCTGCAGCCCCCATGCTGGAGCAGGTGGGTGCCTGAAGAAGGCTGTGACCCTGTGGGAAGTCGCAGGCTCCTAGCAGGGCCTGTGGGCCCATGGAGAGAGGAGCCCATGCTGGAGCAGGCTCCTGGCAGGACTTGGGACTCCACAGGGGACCTATGGTGGAGCAGTTTGTGAAGAACTGGAGCTTGTGGGAAGGACTCAAACTGGACAAGAGCGTGAAGGACTGTCTCCCATAGGAGGGACCTCACGTTGGACCAAGGGTAGAGTGTGAGGAGTCCTCCCACTGAGCAGGAAATAGCAGCAGAGACAATTTATATATGATATAGCAGGGCCTGTCTACAGCCTGGCTTTTGTTTTCTCTGTGTTCTGTTTCTGGATCATTGTGGGCTCCCATTCCAATAGAATTAAGTTTAACTACTTTCTCCCTTTTAAATTTATTAGTACAGACTAGGTGGCCTAATTAAGTAACAGATACACATACTGAAGAGCAATATTGGAAGACAGAAATATAATACTGTCTGCATAATACTTGAACAAAAATGGTGCAATTTCACAGGTAAGTGGAATTTTTGTTAAAAATACCAATGTGTGTATTTTTTTCCCTCCCAGATAAACATTAAAAATGCTGAAAAAGTTAGTGCAATAAATAAAGCATTTGCTGAAGTTCAGAAAAAAGTGCAGCAGCTATCGAAAGGCACCTCAGCAGAACCTCAGAAGACTCAACAGGTAATTTCCCTTTGTAAAAATCTGAGGAGACTGAAATGAATATGTGTGTTTTTAAAGCATTATATTCTGGCTCTAAGACTGGAGGCAAATCGTGCAATTGCTTTAAAGCTATAAACCCAGTTTTATTAATTTCATTTGTGTGGTAATGCTGAAACCTGGTTAGCATGTTCAAATGCTATATAACTACTAGAGAGAGAAGAGGGTGGGCAGCCAAGCTGAACCACGCTTCCAAAACATAGTTTTAAATTATTCCAGCTGGTTTTAAATTATTTTTTTAAAGTTAGTCCCAGCTCTTTGATTTCAGACTTATGTCTGCCCATGAATAGACACTGAGAGGATGAACGTGGATGTTCCCAACCTGAAGCACCGGACAGTGCTTTGAAACAGACAGCTCTGTCTCTCTCTGTTCCTGATGCCTAGGCCTTCATGTTCCCTCATCAGAAGTACCAACACCTAAAACAGCAATTTCTGTACTAGAGGTTTTGCCTGCAGTGCTTAGGGTTCAAGACAGTGTTTCACTTGCCTTCCTTTGTTTAGTTTTTTTATACAGGGCTACATGCAATCTTACACAAGAATTAATTTACAGAGTTTAATTCCTGACAAGTTCCTCCATATAAACTCTTTATGCTAACTCCTTCTGATGCTCTGGGCAGTTTTGGGGAGAGAGAAAGCAGCAGGCCAGGATGAGGTACAGATGAATCCATGCTGGCTGTCAGAAGGAGGAGCTGTTTGGAGATGTGGACATGAGTTCAGTATTACTTCCTGTGCCTGAGGTGATCAGATTTCTGTATGGCTGTGAGTGACAAAACAAGTGTCAAATACGTTAAGAAGAGGCTGAGGGACAAATGAAACATAAGTGACCGTGCTCTCAGTACAGGATGAGGCTGAGCAAGGATTTCAAGGCAGTTGGTGCCAGTGGCCCTGTCCCTGCTGGCTTGCTATTTATTCCTCCAAGAATGCAGACTTTACTGTTGCTGCTGTGCTAGTAGGGCTGTACATGACAATGCCTAGTTTGATGACCCAGGCTGTAATAGTATTTTCTCCAAAGTTGTAAAAATGTAAAGAGCAATTCTGAACTAAAAGGTGAGCCTGTCTCTGTGCCATGTATGTTGTTACTGGCATAACACTTTGTATTTCTCCTGCATAAAGTGTTGTCAGCTTATCTGTCAAGTTAAGTGAATCCTGTAATCCCCCCAAATTATTGAAGTATGACTGCAAAATTAGCCTAAAATAAATATATAAAAGACAAACTAATCTTCTAGACAATTGGTATTTATTAGTTTGGGTTTTTTTCAAGCAGAGTAAAAAGAAATTGCTTTCTACTTTAAACTGAAACTTTTTTTTTCAGGTTTCCAGAAATGTGGAAGAGGAACCAGCAAATGTGGATGCTGCTACAAACCTGTTATCTCAGTTGTAATGTAAAATGGACAATGAAGGGATTGCAAGAAATGAAAGATCACAAATACTGATGGGTTTGTTTGAAGAATTTTATTAAAAAAAAATCTTGTTAATATACAAGTATTGGCACACTTTAATACAAACTACAAACAGACCTTTCCTGTCATCTAGGAAAGTGGAATGTCAGAAGTCAGTGTGAGAAACTTAAAGTGCTAAAACAGAAGGCACTTCACAAAATTGGTTCACTGAAACAATTTAGCATAACTCAAGTTGATACCCTTCACTTTTCAACTTGGCAGTGAAAGCTTCAAAACTGTTTGAAAGGTTAAAAAAGAATATACAAAGCTTCTTGGCAGTAAAGCTTCAAAGAAAACGCTGTTGACTGTGAGCAAGAAGCCTAATCATTTTTTAGAAAATGATCAAAGGCTAAAAAGTATTTTTGTTTTTCTTACTAAAGAAAGCTTCAAATAATTGGATTACACAGAGAACACTTGGGTGAAAAAGTGCCAGAATTTTTGATAAGAGCCCTTTTTTCTTGTTCTTGAATTTGTTTTGTGAAGTAGTTAAAGGAAGCAAAAGGAAATATACTCCCAGAGTCAGTGAACTAAGAAGTTATACATTCATTATTCAAATACTTAGGTTATGAAGAAGTCTAGAATGTTATAGTTAGAGGTAGATAAGTAGTCTGGTTGACACGATATCTAATAATTTAGTATCTGCACATCAAAGAGATCACAGACTCCTTCATTATCATCCAGGTTAAAGTTGTAGTCATCTCCGGGAGTAGGAGAGAGTCGTAAGAGAGGAAAAACTGTAAAGCAGGAACAGTTTAGTTTAAATTAAAACACTTTTGGAATATCAGCCCTATCTCATCATTCAGTATGTTTGTCATCACCAGTACAAAGGTTAGTCTTCATAATTAAAATAGTCTTGATAATCTGAAAAGCACGCTAGGATGCATACTGTGAATATCTGTACTGCATTCAAACTAAGGCAGTAAGTTACCTATCTACCATTTTTTGCTTGGTATTTTAACTGAATTTGCTGGAATGGAGCGACAGCTGTGGAATATGGGTTTAATTTCTCCTGCAGCAAAAGAGCTCCTGAGCAGCTTTTGAAAACTTTCATGAGAAAGCCATAATTTATATTTATGTTCCTTTTTCTTGTTACAATATTGCATATCTGCCTTCAAATAAGTCAGGAAGTTACTATTATCCCTATTTTACAGAAGGGAAATGAAGGCTAGCAGTTTTTCTGTGCACTGCATTTCAAGCATGGACTTGAAGCTGTCTTTGTGGGGGGAATGCAAGAAGAGAAGCCTCAGCCCTCATGCGGCACCGTAGGAACTCTAACATAGTGTAGATGAGCTGGGCATGCTGTACCTGCCCTAGAAGCGGAGACTCTTTCCATTTTGACCATATATTGGCACATTCAATCCACAACACAATACAAGATGGAATCCCATCTTGTACCTCATAATTACACATCTCTTTCTGCAGGAGCCTGAGGTTGTCTGCTTGGAGGGCAGATATTAGCACAGGCTGCTTACAGAGCGCAGGGCAAAAGGAACAACACCAGCTGAGCTCACCTCTTTGCCTGGCACACCTCAGAGAGACTGAGCAGAGAGGCAGCAGCACATGAACTTAGCAGCTGTGGTTCAGTGCTGCACTCTTATGGCCACTGAGGTGCAACAGCAGAAATGGGTAACGTTTGTTCTATTAGTGTACTGCAGCAAGGCACGGATCACTCTGCACACAGGCATGTAACTATGGTCTGAAATATTTAAAGCACCTGCAGGAAGCCTGAGGCAGAAAAGAATGGAAACAGATTTTTTTTTTTAAGTTGTTTTTTTTTTAAGGCAGCACACTAGTCATCAGCCTGTTCGTTCTTTGTCCCTGAATTAAGGACTGGTGGGTTATTCATGCATGTAAGTGCTTGTTGGATTAAGGTTTTCATATTTTGATGGTTAAACTGTTGCAGGGAATAGAAAGGGGAGCAAAGACAAGAATGACAGAGGAGGCAATACAGGGAAAAGAAGTAGTTTCATACTGAGTCTTGTCATCAGATTTAACATATGCCTCCTAAGTGCTGTTCACACAAAAACCATGCTGCTACTTGTGATTATTAGAAAAGATGCTAAATACTTACCGTCAGAAGACATGAGTTCATCAATAATATCCCCACTAATATTTCCTGTGAAAGACAGGAGCACATGCTTTATATATGTGGGGTTTTTTTAATACGTGTTTATAAAAGTCAACACGTATTATCTGCATTAAAATACTGAACTGCAAAGAACAGTGTGGCTCATGCAGTGTAGGAGCTGCAGACATAGCATGCCATGTACATGTAAAATATATTTATCTTTGTATCCCTCAGTTCCCTCCCCACACACTACACTTCTTCCACTGATCTCTTATAACCCTAGAGCCATATACAACATGAAGCTTACTTGGTGGCAGAGAAACTCATTTGCTCAAAGTGAGTTTGCTACTGAGAGCTGGCTCAGTGGCTTCACCAGGAGATAAACAGAGGCCTGTCATTTTGTCTGTAACTCATTGGTAACTTGGTCGCAAAGAAGGGCTCAGGAAACCAGTATAAACATTCAAACAGGAACTACTGCTCCCTACCTGTGGGCTCCTCCATCTTTGCAATGTCAAATGAGTTTGGCTTGAGAATACAGCTGACATCCAGAGGCAGCAAGCCCTGGTAGTCACTGGAGATGGCTGAGGCTTGGGCACCATCTCCTGAAAGGCTGGGGTACAGCGCCAGCTCTGGAAGGCTGGAGTAGGGGGCTGCAGGGGCCGCGCTGTCCCGCTCCACGCTGCCATCTGCGGACAGAAAGGCATGTTATGGAGACATGGAACACAAAGCGTCTGCACCCAGTTTTGTCTTTGGGAACATGGCCAGTGTCTGGGATCAGGTGCGAGGAGTCTCCCCCCTTCCACAGGCACAACTTAATTAGTTAATTAATTAAAGGTTAATAAAGGTTAATCAGGACCCTCAGAAATGCAGTTGTACCACTCACAGCATTTTCTTACATCTTTTCCTATTACCCTACCATTACTATGAAAAAAATACCTGATATTCAGGCTGTCTCTCACTCTGTGTGGAAGAAGGTAAATGACATTGTGGCACAAAAGCTGGAACTGATGCCTGTATTATCAGTCTCATTAAAAGGTACATGTTTCAAATAATATCCTCCATCAGAGGTTTGCAGTTTTGCTCCATACTGCATTCTGGAGAAGTACCTCAGAATAAGCAACAGGATTACATCCAAAACCTGTTCAGTATAAGATGATGAGCTATGAGGGAAGAATGTGTTTCAACGGACAGAAGAGGAAGAGGGGTCTCTGTAACCTCCTGAGAGCTGTTAGTAAGCCCTTGGAGAAGTTTGTCAACAGACAGCTGCTATGCTGTGCAAATTCTTGAACTTTTCTTTGTCTATCACCTTTCCTAACAGTTTCTTCTTTCCCTCTAGCTGCCTTCCTCCCCACCCCATTGGAGGTAGGAAAAACCCTGGATCCACCTGATCGTGTGTCCGCAGCTGGTGTTTGTGGTAACTCTTGTCCTTGGTTCAGGTCATGTTCTGGTGGATTTGGGGGAGCTGTAGTGGGTTTAAGTGGAGTCGCTGGAGCTGCAGGTTGAGATGGGGGCTGTGCAAGGTCATCGGGCGGAGGAACCGGAAACACCGTGGGCTTGGAGGAGCTTGATTCTTTATTTATAAGCAGCACATGGATAGGTCCTGAACTACTTTTAAGATTGATCTGGTATTTCTTCTGTCCATTCTGTCCCTGTAAAGGTGGTGTATGATGAAAGTTACTGCTCCTTGAGAACTCGACACTGTACAAGGTGATGAAGACTAAGTTCAGCTGTTTTGGTCCTTGACCCAAAAAAAAAAAAAAAAAAGCCCAACATCACAGCTGCTAACTTGGGTCCTGCAGAGAACCTTACCATTGCCTGAACTGATTTCGGCAGAGACGGACAAAGACAGTACCACTGATCAGCTTCATGGCTCTAGCTTGGGATGCTTTTACTATATTAGACTGTGCTTAGCCTCACTAACAATAGCTTGTGAAACTTCTCAGGTGAATTTCAGCCTTCTACAAGCACAGTGGCTATCATGCTTCATACAATGATCTCTCCCAACTATGTAAACACTATTTAAAACTGAGCACTGCAACAACAAAAAAAAATAAAGATGGACAGACGTAAATAATTTGTCCTCCTACTTTAATCTTACCCATTTAAGTCTTTTGGCTAAAGCGAGACTGCAGTCTGTTTCTCTATCCAGTCTACTACCATGAGACTAAATCTAAACTAAACCTACCACTAAATCTAAAAGGCTTTTTTGTAAAAGATCCGTTTTAACAATGTAAAGGAGAAACTTGACAGATAAAAGCCTCTATCAATGAATTCTCAAGGGAATTCATGACAATTATGCACAATTTGGAAAGTTGCAACATTTAAAAAAAAAAGAAGAAATGGTAAAAAAACCCACTAATGTATCTTGGTTTTAATAGAAGACAGTTACCATATAGGTGTACAAAACTCACTTTTTCCCATCTGGCCTCTCCCTTCTCAACTGAAACAATCCTAATCATTTGCCCCCTCCTCTTGCACATGGACAGAGATAAATCCTCCACTCTAAGATAGCTCTTCTTTTCCACTGTTCCTCTAGAACACTTAGGTAAACAAGAAACCAGTACATACCATTTCTGGTGTAGGTACTTCTAACTGTGTACCACAAGGTGCTTGAATTGCTAGGAGTGTATCTCCTGGTTAAAAAGCAATTTTTAAGTAAGTGTAAAGTGTGCATAGTTTTCCTAAGTCTTGCATGGTACCCCCTCAAATGAGAGATGGTAATATTCTAAGACCACTTAAAATACATAATTCAGCATATATAAACTTGTGCTAAGACTTGCATAGTACCTGTAAGATCCAAGTAAATTGCATGATATAAATCACAGAATTCCAATACTTAGGTCATAGTTGCAAGAACCTTTTCTCACAGCAGTACAAGATTTACCATTTCCTTTACCTGTTTATCTTTTACTTTTATATGTAACATAAGGTGAAAATATTTAAATAATTTTTTCACAGAATCAAAGAATCATTTAGGTTGGAAAAGACCTCCAAGATCGAGTCCAACCTGTGACTGATTCATCCTCTTGTCAACTAGACAAAGTGCCACGTCCAGTCATTTTTTGAACACTTCTAGGGATGGTGACTCTACCATCCCTGGGCAGTCTACTCCAATGCTTAACAACCCTACTATGAAGACATTCTGCCCGATGTCCAACCTGAACCCCCCCTAATACAGCTTGAGGCTACGTCCTTTCATTCTGTCACTTGTTGCCTGGGAGAAAAGGCCGACCTCCACCTTTCAGGAGTGATAAGGTCTCCCCTGAGCCTCCTTTTCTCCAGGCTAAAGCCCAGCTCCCTCAGCTGCTTCTCATATGACTTACTTTAGCTAAATCAGTTCTCTGGTCTAGCTCACTTTATGACGTTGACAAATGATGGTACTACAAAGATTTAATAGAAGGAAGAAAAGGTATTAATGATCATCTTCAAAGCCAGCACTTCCAAGTATCTAAGCTCATGGCTTCCAAAGCACAACTGGGATATTAAGAGCTGGCTATCAAACTCACCTGTGGCTTACTATGCACATTAAAATGTGTTGGTTGAAGTCAGGGGATCACAATTACTTCCACAGAACTGGCACAACACTGCAGGTCACTTGCCTTTTCCCTTTGTCCATAACTGATTCGGAATAACACTTTTCTTTCTCTGCCTCCTAAAAGACACTTAGGTGAAGTACTATCTGAGTGCCATGCCAGGTGCCTCCATGTTTTGTAATGGCTAATTCTTTTTAGTTACAGCTCCTTTTTGTTAAACATTGCAGTAGTTTTCTAATCTTGCATTTTTATTAAAAAACAGCCTTCCTTGAGATGGTTCTAAGCCTAGCTGGAGGCTGAACAACAATCTTCCCTTGGGTGCCCTGGGATCGGGAAAGAATGTCAAGGGTAGTAACCTCTGCCAGAAATTCTTGGCAGTTTCTTCAAACCTGTACAGGAATCCTTTTGATTTAGCAGCTCCATCATTGAACTTTGTCTGCCTCCATTTATACAGCATCATCAGGAACTCTGACCACAACTGCCACCAGAGAAACTGTATGAAATTTGGATCTGTCTGGTTCATTTGGTGGGTTGGACCCACATGTCCTGTCTCTGGTTCCATTAATGGCCTGAGGCAAGCTGCTGCAAAGTATGAATACCAAAAAAGGCATCCAAAACCAGGATTCCAGCTGAGCTTCTATTCAGTACAGTCTGTAACTACAACTAGAAAATGCTGGAACTTGGTAGGCATGAACATTATGAGACATCAGTATTGAGTACTTCTAAATTCAAAATACTTGCAAGGAAAAAGCAAGTCATTTTTCAAGAGGAAGATCAGGAAATCCCTTGCTTTAGAAATACAGCCTAACAGCAGCAACTTACCATTGAAGCAGTTGCAGATATCTTCATGGGTGACATATGAAAATGTAATGTATGTCAAGGAACATTTTTCTTGAAGCAATGTAGAACTCTTGCCCCTTAAAAGTAGTTTGTCCAAACTGAGTCTAAACTATAAAGTTACTATTGTTACTCAGAGGTGTAATCAAAGCATAATTTTTGTCTTTCAGAATGAATAGTTAAAAATAGAAGAGTTCTGTCTTTTAAACAAAAAAACCTGTACTTGCAAAGAAAATACAAAAAGAAAAAAAGTTGTGTAGCTTGCTTGAGAAGAGATCCTAACAGGAAGAACATGTAAAATCTTGTTTTGAAGAACACCACTTATCTCACTGACACTACAGAATTCAAGTATGTATCAAGACTTCCCATAATCACATAAAACGACTGCTAGAGGGAACTTCAGAGTTCATCTCCCATCCCATTCCTCTGCCTCAAGGTAGGATCCACTGTTCAGACATTCCAGACAGATGTCTGCCTCCCCTCTTCTGGAAAACCTCCAGTGATAGGTAGTTCACTACCTCCCTGGGAGGTCAATTCCAGTGCTAGCTCTCCCAAAGCAAAGTTTCTCCTAACATCTAACCTCAATCTCCTTACTACAAAATCCATTTTACACAACCAGTTTCTGTATAGCAAGTCCCGTAATGTTTAAATACTTATCACTGGTGCTGTAGTTTCTATAAGAAGGGCACCTTCCTGCTCCCAGTCTCAGCTGTCTGTTTTGCTCAGTATCTTGCAAGATAGCTAAGCACATGCTTATGCAGCTAGAACTCTCTGTTCATGGGTTATCTAAACACAGGATTTTTTTCCCCAGTTTCAAGCCCAACAAGTTTCAGGACACTGTCAACTCAATTTATCTTTGGGTGATAATCTTTGGAGGAGAACAAAGCAACACAGAGCAGATTCATGTAAAGCAGCGGTAACAAGGTATAAATTCAAGTGCTGGAAAGCAGTATAGACTACCACAGAATACTCTGAGTTGGAAGGGACCCTCAAGGATCATCGAGTCCAATTCTTAAGTCAGTGAGTCCAATTCTTAAAGTAAGACACCAGGATTATACTACAGACTTAAAAATACATATGTATACGCTAACTTATTTTCATGTTACCAATCACAGTCACAGAATTTAAAAAGCCATGTAAATAAAATTTGTATCTTCTTTCTTTGAGAAAAACTTGAAAAAATATTTGCCTTACCTTTCTTCTGGATAAAAGAGACTACATTATGCTTTATCAATTACCTACACCTTAGCTGTTGTTTTAATTCTAGTTCTAAGAGGCACACAATTACTTTAAAAGGATATTGGTGGTTTGTAGAATCATCCATGACATTCTTGATACTTTGCTGAAGCCACAGTTTCTGCTGATCCAATTCTTTCTCTTTTAGCTCTAGATCTTCAATTTCAGCTTCCAAATACCTCAGCCTGTCTATGACTTCTTTTGTATTGCAGCCAGCACCTACTCCTCTTAAAAAGGTAAAAGGGTTCATGAAACCACAAGTAAAAATCTAAAGCAAACAGGCAATGATAATTTCTTAAGTCTATTTTCAACATTTTTAAAATCTACTAACATTCAATATGAAGGAAATGAGCATTTGTGGTGTCATATTTAGTCAGAAGTGGAAAGAGGCAATTTTTGTTGCTCTTGAGCATATGAAAATTTTGCAGAATTGACATGGCTTACTTCCACTGAATGCTGTTTTTTGACTTCTTCTCAATGAGATCAATCCCCTCCAAAACATTGGTGATATCATAGATCCTTCTCTTCTGTCTCACAGCAAGCGTATCAGCAGCCTGTCAAGAGAACAAGTATCAGCAACTTGCATGCTGCAGGAAAAGACAGTTAAGCCACTCCCTTGGAAAAATGCCATGTAATGTCATTCTGAAGGGAGAAGGTTCCACTCTTCAAGAGCCAGATATTCCATCACTAATTCTAAAGTTCAGCACCTGCAGGTAGTGCTGCAAACCACATGGAGGAGTCACTTTGCTGAAGGCCAGCAGGCCATTCCTGGACAGGAGGGTATATTCACATGGGTTGCCAAGACCGTGTTCAGTATCTGGACCATGTGCTGTTCAACT